GACGAAACCCCACATTTTTTCTTGGTGAACGGTCCTGCTCTATGCTTGCATATGTCTCTTCTGCTGATTCAGGGCAGACTAGATGCAGCTAGTCTTGGCGCATGCGTCCCAAAGAAAATCTGAGGACCCTGTTCACCAGTGTGACATCTCTACCCACATACCCTTCTTAGGCTGAATGGGCCCTTTCAAAGGAATTAGAGGTGTAGAGGCGAGCTACAAAATCTTCATTAAGTAATTTAATGATGTGTGTGTCTGGTACAGAAAGGAGCCAGCAGGCAGAGCCACATTCTTTCTGATACCCTGTGAAGTGGGTGGGGCACTGCTTCCCCAACATCGAATCATAGGATCTCATCTTCAATTTGTAATTTGGATTTTTCTCAGTTTCAAATCATAGGCTGACAGAGGTTAAAGACTGACAGGGTATAAAACCATCTTCTTCTGAGTCCAGAATATGACAAGTAAAAAGAAACAACAGAATAAAAGAGGTTGCAGTTTCAGAAAAGGGGAATGGAAATCTACCCACAGTAAATGGGAGGACATGAATAGTGACATTGGCTCTTCAAATGATAGATATACAGCCTAGTAGTGGTTATTCTGGCAAATATTGTTCACTGAATACAGTGACAAATGCAGAAGGGCTGTGTCTTGCTGGTGTTAGTTTAGTCTTTTTTAAAAAAAATTTTAAGGGGGGCATTCACAAATGGTTCTTTCTGAGTTATTTCTTAAGTTCCTTCCCTAAAATTTCTGATTGAATTCATGACCATTTCCACTGATATAGCATTATTTGCAAGAGGGAACAAAAATAAATGAATGAAATCATTTTTGAAATCATACAGGCTTGCCCAGTAGCATGAAAAAAATTACATAGCACCAACACCTAAAAAGAAGAGTTAATATTTCCTTAAATGGATTATTTCAGGAATATTTACACAAATGTGGCTCACATAGTCACTATCCACCCCAAATTTGTGGAGTGTTTTTATGAGTTAAGTTCCTCTTGTTTTGCCCTTCATAATGTTGGGCATTATGCCCTTCATATCTAAACCTGAATATACCCCTAACTCCATGCTACTCAAAGTGTGGTTTAGGGACCAGCACCACCACCTAAGATCTGGTTACAAATGTAAAACCTCAGGATTCACCCAGACCTACTGAGTCAGAACTTATAATATTTCTACAAGATCCCCACGTGATTCATATATACATTAAAGTCTGCTAACCACCACCTCATAAAATATCTTATTTAAAAATCATTTAGCCCATTTTAACAGCTCTACAAAGAAAGTCTTCCTTACACTGAATTGTAATATGCTGTCCCATAAGTCCCATTTATAAATGCTTCTCTGGTAGTTAGAACAATTCCAGAAATAACTCCAATCTTAAGCTTACTGTGTAAATACTTTTTAAATAAACTCAAAGTTCTTTTTTTGATGTGTGCAATGTTTTGGGGGAATTTGAAATCCATTACTATCGTTCTATGACATGCCACACTGCCATTATTTCTATTAATAGAAATGTAACTGCAAACAAAAATAAAAGCAGGTACCCACATTAAGTCAACAATAGCAACTGAACAATAAGCATGGCAATAAGATTCAAGTGAAAAACATATCACACAAAAAAATATCTCTAAGGCCAAATTATTTGCAAAATTCGTCTTGCTGGGGAATATCTACTATACAATCAACATGAGAAAGACTACTTTCATCTAACTGAAAGAGATGGGATTTTCCCCCATGTGCCAGAGTCTGTGCTCAGCATTTTATAAATATTACTAGAGGCCCAGTGCACAAAATTCGTGCACGGATAGGGTCCCTAGCGGCTGCCAGCCAGGGCCTCCCTCCGTTCCACACCATCCCCTGGTAGTCAGCACATGTCATAGCAAACGATCGAATTCCTGGTCAATTGAACTCCCGAGGGGATACTTTGCATATTAGGCTTTTATATATATAGATCACATTTAAGCTGTACCACAAGCCTTGTAAGTGGACACTGTTTTAGAATATGTTTTACTGAAGTTTAACTCACATATAGCCAATCACTGAAATCTATGTACAGCTTGATGAATTTTTACATTTGTACACGATCCCTGTAGCCACAACCCAGATCATTTCCAGTACCCTAGCAGGAGGCTTTCTCATGCCCCACCCAGTCAGCAACCCATTCCCCACGGGTAACCACTATTCTGACTTCTAGGACATACACTAGTTTTGCTTATTTACTGAAATTCATACAAATTGAATTATGCAGAATGTAACTTTTTGAGCCTGGCTTCTTTCATTGAATAGTTAGAGGATCAGTGTGGACAGAGAAAAGGGAATGCCCTGTTGAAGGAACGGAATGAGTAAAATAACTAGGAGAGAGGAGAGTGCCTTAGGCACAAAAGGTAGGCTGGTAGAGAACTTGTAGGAAAAGAAGTTGGAAAGATGGGCCTTTTAGATGATGGGTGGCCTTGAATGCCAGTAGAGTGTCTCTGAAGGTGAGGCAATGAAGGATTTAATGAAAGTGATATGTCAAGGAATTCGACAGCACAGCTTGCCCAGAGTAGAATGAAGAAAAACAGGAGGCAAAGTGAAGTAGTGATTCAGTTGTGAGATAGTAAGGGCCACAGGAAAGGGGAGAGAGGCAAAACTCTGAGGGAGCCTCAACTTGATGCTCCACTGTTGAGGCTAGAGTTGAGGAGTTCTTTCGACAGCTCCAGGATGAGACTACTCAAAGAATGGTGGTAGTGCTATTCAAAAAATAATGAAGTCAGTAGGGAAAGCCAGTTTTAGGGAGGAAGATACATTTAAGGCAACAGTGAAATAGCCGTTTTGGTCAATAGCTAGTTGACAAAATTAAGACTAAAGCTCAGAAGAAAAGATGTGGAGATGTAGATATGGGAAGCAAAGAACAAGACAGCAGGAACTGGCTCTGGCCGGGTAGCTCAGTTGGTTAGAGTATCGTCCCAATGTGCCAAGGCTGCAGGTTCAATCTCCTGTCAGGGCACATACAAGAATCAACCAATGAATGCATACATAAGAGGAACAATAAATCAATGCTTATTTTTCTCTCTTTTCCTCTCTCTCTAAAAATCAATAAAAATTTAAAAAGACAGCAAGAACTAAATGGGACTCCAGAAACCACGTGTTTACATCAAAGCAATTGGCTGAAACCAGAAGAGAGACCACCAAGAAATAGCATGAAGTACAGGACTGAATTTTGCTGAATACTCACATAAAAGAAAAAAGGGGGGGGGGAATATGCAAAGAAAAAAAAAAGGGACAGGAATAGGACTAATATAAAAACCAGACGATCCTAGCATAGATTGAATTCCTGCAATAGGTTTCAATTTAAAGACACCTTTCCCAAGTACAACCATTGTAAATGTTGAATTAGAATCTCTAAGAAAATACAAGGTAACTTTAGAAGCTTCATTAACTTTTTCTAGCATCATCAAGGTGTTACTTTGCAAATTACTGTCTGGGTAGGCTAAACTTAGTAAATTGTTGTTTGGGTAAACTAAGTAGTAACCTAGTACTCTGAAATAGTTAATGGAACTTCCAACCCATCGAATTTACTCCTAAAAAGTGCTTTCATATTCAAGACTCTAACATAATTTGTCTATCATCAATGATGATTTAAAGGCAATCCACTACTTGGGTATTCAAATTTCTGTCCCACTTGGATCTAATGGATTTTTGTTTAGCCTTCCTAATCAGCGTGAGTATCAATCAATCCACAGTGGTCCTTCCTCAAGAAATCCACTACAAACAAAAGCTGAAAACAGACAGAAAAAACACACACACACACACACACACAAAAAAAAACACACAGAAAACCTGAGATCAATGTCTGGACAATAATGGTGTTTTGAAACATGAAACATGGGTTCCACCTGTGTATTAAAGTATCCCATGGACTGAGATTATAACACAATCCCTCCGTTTTTCTTCTTTGCATTCACCTTTCTCCTTCATCAGACTATCACTTTCACCACATGACAGTCATTGAATTTGTTAAAACCCAGTTTTGGAGAAATATTAAATGAGAATCCTTTAAGATGAAGCATGACTGTTTTCTCTAAATGAGGACGATAAATAATATTAAAAGAGGAATTTAGCTTTAACTTGAAGCTAGTTTTTAGGGGCTCAAGTCACTTCCAGTTGTGCTATGATCATATTTTACATTATTCCCTGATTGAACTTACTCTATTAATTAAAAGCAAGTTGGCAGGTTCTATACATAGCACTCAGCAGTGATTTTTTTTTAAAGTACAAAAAAAAAAGAGCATGGAAGCATTGATAAAACAGTAAGTTTTGTTTCATTAAGTAAATATGGCTGAAAATATGGCTGTTAGCTGAACTACTGTGTAACCATTTCACAGTATATGTAATTCAAATCTTCATGCTGCACTCTTTAAACTTGTACAGTGATGTCAATTATTTCTCAATAAAACTGGAAGGAAAAGAAAAATATAGCTGACTCTTTTCCCTATTTTTCAGATTTTCTTTAAGGATCATATTTTTATTATAAATATAAGTACACATTTAAAGTCAAGTTTCCTCTCATCAAATCTCCTAGCAAATCTGAACAAATCAATCTACCGAACTGCCCAACACACTATACATTAATACTCACTATAATATGATTTTGGAATTCCTATTAAAATTCTGAGTGGTTAAATGGCTTTTGTCAAACTGCACTTTTGGTACAAGTTTTCAAAGATGTTATTCTTACTCTGATATTCTTTTGAAACAGAGCAATAACTAAGTCTATCTTTCTACAAGCATAGTTTTACAAGTAACGCCTTCATTTGATAAATACTATGAAATAGAAATATCACCAAATATCCTCAGTTCAGACCTGTTATCTAATCTAAAAAATTATACCATAGAAAATCTATCTAGATTATCAAATATTAGAGATGTAAAAACAAGGTAATTGGACCTCTATGGAGGTATGTATGTTATTGTTAATAATGAAGTTATATATACACAGCTACAAATTAAATAACCAACCTATGCCTTAACTGCAGGTAGGTTATGCTTCCTCTCCTTACTTTCTGAAGGTGAATCTGAGAAAAGAAACAGTGACATAATAACCAAGGGACAGTGAATTTGAACATATTCTCTGGCATTTAAATTAGTCATTTGCAAAATAACAAAGCCTGTTGTACAGAGAAATTTTCAAAAGGAATATATATGAGATAAATAAAAGCTTTCAAAGGAAATTTGAAAAGCTTTCCTTCTCTTTCTCCCCAGTTTCACTTTTTAGGATAAGGAAAAAAAATTTAAGTTCAAAACATAAAATTCATTAATACAGATCCCTTGGGGATTAAATGTAGAAGATGGGGGAAGATGCACAAACAATGTACATGACAATGTCCCCCAAAATATACACATAGATAGATAGATAGATACCTATATATATACTTTGAATGATTATAAAGTCAGTGTTTATTAACACAGTTCATTTTTAAAACTTAAAAGAATCCACAGAAATTAATAATATATTTTTTTTGGTCAACACATTTTCAAACTGATGACAGTTCTTGCACTGCTGCTAATGCGAAGCAACAGAATCACAAACACCAAGAATCATTTCAGCCCGGCCTGTGTGCTCAGTGGTTGAGCTCAACCTATGAACCAGGAGATTATGGGTTCAATTCCAGGTCAGGGCATATACCCAGGTTGCGGGTTCAATACTTGGTTGGTGTATGGGAGGTGACTAATCAATGTCTTGCTCTTTCTCTCTCTCCCTTCTCTCTAAAATCAATTTTTTTTTAATCTTAAAAAAATCCTTGGGTAAGGATTTTTTTTAAATGTTCTTTTAATTTTATCCCAACACAATGCATTCTATCAGTAGGTATGATTTACACAGCCACCTTTGGCCACTGAGTGCCAAACATTTTAAAGTTTTCCCAGGATTTGTGCCAGAGATTTGGGAGTATATTAAGAGTATTATCCTTTTTAGTTGAAACATGTAAAATTGGTCCTAAATGCAAAACGAAAAAAGCCATATTACCAAGCCCATCTATTTGATAAGCAAAATTTTCTTTTATGTTATTCACACTGCTATGAAATTGGTACAGAGTTCAAGGTCCCAATCAAGAGGAACTTTGTATGGGATGAGTAAAGAATGAATGTGAACACCACACACACAGGCACACACTACACACACTAACTCACCCACTCACTGCCTCCTTAGTCACTCAATAGCTACACCACTGTAAGTCTCTCAACTTCTTACTATGCCTATGCCTTTTATTTGCATTTTAGACTGCTCCCAGCACATGCTTAAGATAAATCTATAATTTCAATATTAGGTAATGAGGACAAATAGTCTATATCCCTAATAAAGTAGGTTAGATGTGCCTTTTGGCAGTCAATGTTCTTACTATCAATGACCATTAGGTTAAAACATGTTTGCTATTTAATCCAATCCAATCCAATCCAATCCAATCCAAAACAGACCAAAATCCTAATTGTTCAAGTAAAAACAATTAAAATACATAACATTTTTAAATTACATACAAGCCTTAACCATTTACCTTAAAATTTTACATATAGCCCCAGTCAGTGTGGCTCAATGTTTTCAGCGTCAATCCATGCACCAAGAGGTCACTGGTTCGATTCTGGTCAGGGCACCTGCCTGGGTTGCGGGCTCAATCCCCAGTAGAGGGGGTGCAGGAGGCAGCCAATTGATGTTCCTCCCACATGGATGTTTCTATTTCTCTCTCCCTTTGTCTCTAAAAAAATCAATAAAAACATGTTTAAAACATTTTTTAAACTTACATATAAACATGCCTGAAATAAGGTAAAACCTTTCCTTTTAGGCAAGGTCCTATGGCTGGACTTCTTGTCTTTCTTATAAACCCATAGTGCATTGTTACCAAAAATTTATAATTTTGATTTGAGAGTGGAGGAATCTCCCTAACCACTGCACAGCAATCCAACTACAGAATTTTTCATGCTCTCCCCTCATCTTGTATAGGGTATGATCACACCTAATTTATCAGCAATTTAAGTCTTTCCAAAGTGCTTGATTTAGTTTTCCTATAGATAATTATTTCATTGCTATTTAATGGGTTCACTTAATATTTAATTTTCATTAATCAGGAAAACAAATACAACTGCACAAACGTCTGAAAAAACACAACTGACTTCCAGGAGAAATACAGACTAAACTGATGTACTGAGGGTAGCTTAGGCAGTCGGAGTGCCACAAAGGGTGCTTTATGGAGAGAATAGAGAACAAGGATGTGCGATGGTGAAGCAAATGTCAGCTAAGAGAGCTGCTAGAGTAGATGCTGGTTTTACCACCAAGATTATCCTAAATTATTTGTGCGCAAAAGGGAAGACTACACAGAGGACAATTTTTAAAAAAGGTTTATGTTGAATGTGATAGAATAAGCCTAAATTATTTCAATTTCCACTAAAAAATAAAATGAAGACTTGCCACTCAAGAAACATTTTAAATGTGTAAGAGTTGAATGTTACTTGTTCCTACAGGTCCATCTTCTGGAAAATCTGAATAGTGATATTATATATGTACTAGAGGCCTGGTGCACCAAATTTGTGCACTCAGGGGGGGGTCCCTCAGTCCAGCCTGTGCCCTCTCGCAATCCGGGAGCCCCCGGGGAGCGGGCCTAAGCTGGTAGTCGGACATCCTTAGCGCTGCCGCAGAGGGAAGACTCTCCCGCCACCACTGCTGCACTCGCCAGCCGTGAGCCTGGCTTCTGGCTGAGTGGCGTTCCCTCTGTGGTAGCGCACTGACCACCAGGGGGTAGCTCCTGCATTGAGAGTCTGGCCCCTGGTGGTCAATGCACATCATAGTGACCAGTCATTTCTCCGTTCGTTGATTTATTAGCCTTTTATTATATAGGGTGTGTGCGTACGCGCGTGTGTATGTGTGTGTGTGTACACACTTATTAATGTGCACATATAAGGTTTTACCTTATCTCAAGTAACTCAGGTATTTCATAATTAGCTTGATGCCTGATAATTTTAATTCTCCTGGGCTTTAGAATACATGATATAGTCTATCTATGTAGTTCTCTCCTTTTAAAAAATATATTTTTATTGATTTCAGAGAGAACAAGGGGGAAGGAGAAAGAAAGAAACATCAATGATGAGAATCACTGATTGGCTTCCTCCCACATGCCCCCTACAGGAGATCAAGCCCACAACCCAGGCATGTGTCCTAACCGGGGAATTGAACCATTACCTCCTGGTTCATAGGTCACCACTCAACCACTGACCCACACCAGCTGGGCTATATGTAGTTCTCTTAGACTGTTTATCTTCCTTTGTGTTCTTTATACTTACATTAGAATAGATTCAGATGCCTTCAGGATAAAGTTATATTGACACTATGCAAGGACACCAAGCCCCCAGCATCGATAAGAAGGCAGAGAAATGCATAATCTATACTACAGATGACTAAAAGGTAGCCATTCTCTGCTGGAAGCTTTCTTCTTTGAAAATATCATAACAGGTAATATTGGCTCTACATTAGACAGCTCTGTATTTGCTCACACATCTGTAAATATTACTGCCATCCCTAAAAACAGTCCTATGTAGAACAAACCACACACCACTATGTTACTAAGATGCTATTTTTTTCCAGACAGAAACCAAAAGTGTATCTATTCAATATCATAGACAACAAAACAGCTATAAGTATCTCCTCCTTCTTCCTAAAATCCAATTGATTCCTATTTAACACAAACTCTTTCCCTTGATTCTTAAACTACTTCAGGAATGCAGATTTGCTATGAATAATCACATTTATTAAATTCCCTAGAAACCTGGGGTCTGTTTCCAGAATTTAAAAACTGATACATAGTTCTTGATTTACTCAAAATCAAATAACAAACCTGGGTACATAGTTCTTGATTTACTCAAAATCAAATAACAAACCTGGGTAGAATGTTCTTCATCATATATATATATATATATATATATATATATATATTATTTAACATTTTTTTAAAACTCTGAAATATGCACTCGGAGTTTGTAATAGTAAAGGAACAGGCAACCCCAGGGGAAAAAATGTATGCTCAGCTAAATTAAAGTCCTATTAACATGCTTTTAGGTGGACAAAACTGGCAACTCAAAATTTCCAATGATAAAAAAATATTATCAACTATTATCCAGTCCTCATTTTTAGTCAGCAAAATTACACAAGGTAGAAAACGTCAATACTAAAAGTTAGTAGTACATGTCTACAGGAGTAAATTAACTACATAAAAAAATAAAACTTAAAAATCACTGCTTTGGTCATATAATTTTATTCCCTGACCAAGGAACAAGTGGATATTTTTCAGGATATTTTGAGGATAATTCCAATTTCTTTGCAGATGCTCAGTAACAATTCTAAGCAGTCCAGAGTGTCATAGTTGCTGCTTACAACTTTAATAGTATTGCCCTGGCCAGGTGGCTCAGTTGGTTGAAGTGTCATCCCATACACCAAAAGGCTGAGGGTTTGGCTTTGACCCTGATCAGGGTGCCTATGGGAGGCAAGTGATCTATGTTTCCCCCTCACATCATTGATGATTCATATTCATATTCTCATTCTCTCTCTCCCTCTCTCTCTCTCTCTCTCTCTCTCTCTCTCTCTCTCTCACCCTCAGGTGAGAATTAAAAAAATTAACTATCAGCAATGGACAAGGCCTTCACTTTTCCGGCATTATTACCAGTAATCCAATTCCAACTACACTCCACTTCTCAATTGCCTCTACCCGCCACCCTCTCCTACAACCATCCCTTTGTTCAGGCTGCTCCTACCACCCTGAATCTCTTCCCTGCCTGGCCCAAAATACAGCCACAGCCTGTTGAAAGTCTACCTACACTTCAGCACTCATCTTAAGTGTGGGTTCTATTTTTCCTGGTGCTTCTAAACCCAATGTGACCTTTCTAGTGACTGAAACCCAAACTATTCCCTTTTACATTTCCCTCTACTCACTTGCCCTTAATATTTAAGTATCAATTGTTAGCCTCTTAATGAAGAAACTGTGTTGTGGCAGGGCTGACAAAAATAATCATAATGTTAAAAATAATCATAGTGTTTTAAAAGATGCCACAAACTATACCAAAAGTGCTGCCAACATTAACCACTAAGAGATGTCTCTTAATATAGGGTGGGGCAAAAGCAGGTTTACAGTTGTTCACATGGAAAATGATACAATGAATCTATAATAATAATAGCATAATATGCTAATTAGACCGGATATCCTTCCGGATGAAGCCGGGGCTGTGAGGGAAGCCTGGGTCGGTGCTGGCAGCTGGGGGAAGGAAGGCCTACTGGCCTACTCTTGCACGAATTTCATGCATCGGGCCTGTAGTAGTAATATAAGAACAAACTCTGTGTTTTGGGTACTCAGAACTGTAAACCTACTTTTGCCCCACTCCATATACGTGATTTATAGCTAGCAGGTATGAACCTAATCATCTATAACAGTGATTTTCAACTGGTGTGCCATAAGAATTTTTAAAACATGCAATACCTATTTAGTCAGAGGCACTGACCTCTTTTCCCTTACAACAGACAATACAATAGTCATCTGGTGTGAATGCCTTGTCTTGAACCATAAATACTAGTATATAGGTCATATAATTGAGTTGCATCTTATTGGTCATGTTGCATAATAAGGTTGTGTCTGCTTGGTTAAAGCTTGGAAATCCTTATATACAAGTATAGGCACCTGATTTTTTTAAGTCACTATGGAGCAAAAGGGTAGATAATTATTTTTTGTAAATCAAAATTATACCTGTTTTTTGTCAGATTGGCAAAAAAGACAATGTGTTTATTTTGTGCTGCAAATTCCAATAAATAGTTTATGTGTGCCATGAGATAAAAAATTAGAATATGTACATGGGCTGAATAATAAAAAATACCAAAAACCTGGGAGAATAGAAAAAAATATTCTGACATGATAATACAGTGGAACTTATAGAAAGGCAATGTCTACTTAACCAAAACACTGTGAAAACAGTTTTTCCAAATGTTAGATAGCAAGATAAACTGTAAAAATTGAAGGTCAAAATGACCTCGCTAATTTCCCATATGAAGCATCTTACTTCATTTGTTCCAAATGTGCTCTTGGTTTCAAACATAGCCAAGTTGACTATTTACCAAATTGAGGTTAGATCACCATTCAACACTGAGATTATACCACACCCATCCTGGCACCTGAAGCTATCTAACCTAAAACAGACTCTTTCAAAGAATAGCAACATTTCAGAAGTAGTACATCAGCTACTGTCAACTTATGAAAAGGAGGTTTTAACTGACCACATACCATGTTCTTTATTTTTTGGAAGAACAGGGAAGAAGACAGGGTACCAAGAGATTGAGGAAGGCTGTGGAAGTGACTGTCCATGCTAGACTCTCTACTTGCCAGAATCCCCCTCACCTTCCATTCTTCCCAAGCCATACTATCAAATCAGGGTCCTTCACCCCCACTTTCTAAAAAACTTATCTCATCACATCTCTGACCCTGATTAAAAGTCCTTGGTGACTTTCTTTTTCCATCAGGTAAAGATCAAGTTTATGCAAGGC